AGTGGCGCCCACAGGTTTTCTACGAACCAGTGCAGTTATAACTATAGGGCCCCCAAATTTATTTGTTTGCATATTTGGCACTGCCAACTCTTTACGCTTTATTCAACGATCTAAATATTCAGATGGACCAGATGAATAGTTATGTATTTATAGTGTCTGATCAAGAGACCAGAGTGGGGCCCTGAATGTATGTAGGCCCCGGGACCTACGAGAAACCACTGCAATTGCACCACTTGGTACACTACGTGGGTGCCACTGAAAAGTATTGCACTGCAAAATCTAACAAAAAAAAGTGAAAACATAAAAAAAAATATATAATTGTATTGAAAATGACAACAATCAACAAAATTGCAATAAAATTGAAAAAAGGTCAAAAATTGCAAAAAGTTGCACTTAATATTTTTATATATTAATTGGTACTCGTTTGAAATAAATTTATAACTTACTTAGCAACGAATCCAAACAATAGAAAAAAAATTACAAATGCAACAACATCCGAGCCCTACTTATGAGTTATGATTATCCTTGATAGATATGGTCTAATCTCTTTTATTCGGTTCACCAAATCTAACCGTATATTTATATACTATATTATGGCATCTAACCTAGGTGATTTTCATAATTATTATGTCATTCTATTCATTTCTTTAGTGTACTCTTTTATCAATACAGCATCTTTTATCCATTGATATTTTAACTATAAATAATCTATTCAATACTTATCTCTTAAGAATAAGTATAAGAAAATATATATTCTTTATGCTTTAATAATACGTATATAATAATATCACGGGGAATATCATTTTTGTTAAAATGATATCTAGATTGTTCAACTAAATTGTTTAAATTATATTATAAATACAAAAAAGTATAATATGATAGGTATATGTTTTTAAATTACTGATTCAAAAATAAAAATAAAATCCTTTCTAATATTTATAAATGTTTTATACCAAGCCATCCTAATAGTGGATACTTTGCATAAGTCATATTATATAATTTATGTAGGTAGTAAATATAATCTTTAATGATCTAAACTTAACTGTTTTCTTAAAATGCTCTTAATTTATAAAAAAAATATTACTATATTTATTTATTTATTTACAATATATACACCGAACGTCAGRTAGAAAGGAGCATAAAACAAATTAAGTTGCTTAAATTCTTAAATTTAACTGAAGAAACTTGTAAAATTTTAAAGACATTACATTAATTATAGGAAGTAGATGTTCTGAGAATGTGGTGAAAGGGGTACCTAAAAATGTCATATTTCTATAAATATCTCAAAAAGTATTAGCATAATATTAAAATCAAATATGCCATCTAGGGAACACTAATATAAGTATAAATGAAGAATGAAAATTTAAATTTCTTATCATTATTGTTTTATAAGGAATATTAATAGTACCTAAGGCAAAGATTTTGCTAAAATGTTGTTTTTTGTTATTTTTCTGATTATATTTTATAAATTTATTATTTACTATTTATTATTTTTATTGATTTGTTTACTTTTGAACCTAACCTACTAAATCTAATAACTACATAGCACAAACCTACCTTAATATACTGGACATATTTTCCGCATAAAAAAAAGTTATATTGTTGTTTTATCAAGATTAACTATTTTTAAATATACACATTTTAAATTGATTTATATGGTATGATTTTAACTATGGTTATAGATGAGTGACTCTGAGGCTGAGACTGCCTCAATGGAGACTACCAGGATGTACAAAGATGACCTAGAATTATCTCGTATGTCTTTATATCTTAGTTCTCAAGATCTGATACATAATTCTCCAGAAGCTGTTCGGCACATAAGGGTATAAGAAATAATATATGATTTAATACTATAGAGAATGTTTTTCTGGCTTTATTTTTTTCTGTCTCCCTCACATGCAATAAAAATTTTGCATTAAGTAGAACAAATATTATGTTATTTACTTTGATATTAAAGTGAATTGACCAATCAAGCTTAAACCAACCTGTACATTTCATCAATATTAATGTTGAAATTTTTATCTGTACTTGTATTTTGGCTTTTTTTTATAATATTCCTAATTGTATGTGAGTTATGAATACTTAAAATATTACAATTTAAAAATGCTTATGTATCGCACACAAATTTAAATGTTGTAAAAATAATAAGCCAACTTATTAATACAGATAGTTTTTTTAAATTTAAGTTTGATATTAGATCAATTCATTTTATAAATTAAGCTAAAATTACAAGATATATCCAGATGTATACAAATTCGTCATGCTGCGTGTGAATCTGAGAGAAAAAATAAATATTGTATTGGATCCTTCTAATTTAGTATTGTTGAATACACCTATCTTAATAGATTTTTACTGTTTAGCCGGAGAGCATAACATTTGATTCAACGCCAGGTGACATATCTGTGGATTTTGTACTTGTTTCATCATCCAAAGCTAAAGCACCTGTAGACATAGATGGTTGGAACCGTAGATCTGCATTTGAGGAAAGAATTAAAGAACAAGGTTTACTTCTTGAAGAAGATGTTGTTGGTGGGTTGACATTTGTCAAAGTGCATGCACCTATACCAGTGTTACGTAGATATTGTGAAATATTAAAATTGCGAATGCCCATGAAAGAGGTAAATTTTGTTTCTAGTCTTTAAAAATTAACTTTAAAGTTTACAAAAAACATATATTTTATAAAAATAAAATAGTTTATGCTTAAAAAAATAAACAATTATGAAGAATTATTCTTTGGTAAATGTGTAATTGTGAAATTTCAAGTAAAGTAAATAATATACATATAAACAGTTTTATGCTGCATTATGTAGTGTAGTTATTTTAATGTTTGAGCTGTAGATTTTTATATTTTAGTATCCAATGACTGAACATATTCCTGAAAAAGGTTTTGATCTAATGGAGAAGATAAAAAAAATTGTTGGTCACATTATAAGAATTTTTATCACTATTGATCCTGGACCATTTGCACCAACTAAGTACATTCTCACAGCAGAGTATTCACGGGAAAAAAGTTATTTGTTAGTCTTTAGATATTATTATCACTACCACAATTTATTTTAATAACATGTATTTTATATTTATTGAATTAGATTTAATGAAGATGATCCAGAATTCTTTTCTGCTGAAGTTCGGACATTAGTTATAGATTTCATTTTAAACAGAGTTAGTTGGGGAAAAGATCAAGCAGATGTCAATTGCGTTGGAATTCAGTGTCTTTTAGATGGAGGTGTTTATAGAGCTGCTTATCCTTTACATGATGTAAGTATAATATTTTTGGAAACTCAATTTAAAGTTTAGATATTTTATCTTTATTTATTTGGATAAATTAACTAACCACAACTACCATATTTATAGAGTTGAGCATTTTGGCATCTTTCTTCAGTTTGTGAAAAAAAGTTATTTGACTGTAAATTTATTTAAAAAATACTACACTAAAATTTAYTGTCTTGGTTACTCCAACAGTGTTTAAAAAACCATTTTATTACTAACTATGTATAGATTTAAATTGAAAATCATTTGTTTGGACTATTAAATTCTATTCCTTATTATCTTAGTAACATAATTATGTTTTAATACAATTGATTAGATATATAAATCATATGTACGTTTTTTTGTATGTTGATTGTTTATTATTAGTTTATTGTTATATAATTTAATTTTTCATAGATTTAGAATGAGGAAAGTTTTTTGTTAAATTTGGATAAAACTGTCCACATATTATGTGGGATACATAAACGTATGTTCTATTCTATGCAAATTTATCTTGTATACTATAGCACCCACATATAATATCATTAAAACCATACTTTTATCTAAACACAAAATGATTGATTAGGTGGGCTAGAGGTCAAGATAGTAAGTATAGTACTCAATTACAGTGTATTTGAATCCCCAAAATAGTTTGTGTTAAAACAATTTTAAAGGAAAAAAATCTTTATAAATTTATGATACTATGTATAGGTTAATTATATATCTAGTACAGTGGTTTCCAATCTTTTAAGTTTAGCGGATAATGTAAAAAAAAAAACATTAACACCCACCTAACTAATATACAGATATGAAAATATTATATTATCACACACAAATAAGGCGATAGAAAAAATATAAACGATAGGCATCTATAAAATCATATAAAAATTTTGACATTGATTCCAATTTCAATTTTCTGACCCTTGGTATARACTCTTGATTAGTGTCCGCGRCCCAATACTACATTGCTCGTGGCCCACAAGTTGGCCTCGGCCCATGGGTTGTAAATCCAAATTATATATAGTATATATTATTGTTTAAGTAGTTATGGCTAACTATTTTATATTATATTATTCCCTTGTCGCTAGTTTTTAAGTCAAGTTAGATTTAAAATGTATTTTTGTTGATATGTAGTTGTTGATTGGTATAAATATACCATTTAATAGTCCTTGGCCTACATCATATATTTGTTTATATTTTGATGATTCAGTAATATACCATAGAAAAATTAAATATATAGAATAAACATTGGTTTTTAAAGTTGAACCAAACTTATTTTCCTAAACCTTAACCAAATTTTTGTGTTTAATAATATTTTATCATTTTATCATTTATAATAAACATATTTTACTTTTATTGAAGAAATCACTTAAATTTGATAAAATAAATCATCAGAGTATTCTATTATAATTTATTGGAATATTTGACACATTTATATCAACTTAAATTTCACTATATTTTACATTTATGTACAATTTATCATTTAAATATATATAAACTAAATTATTTTCTTCTTAAAAGTATATCTAATGTAGTAATGTATATACTATGTCTATGTATAAATATAGTTACAAAAATGTAAGTAACTTGTTATGTATATGTTTACTATAATATTTAGCCATTTAGGATAAAATTTATGTTKTAAGGTGTTCTAATATATCATATTATTATGTATTAAATAAATATATTTTCATTTTTAGGGAGAGCATACTACTGAAAATTCACTACGCCATCAGCTGTATGTCGAATGGGCTATGATCAGTAAATGGATTCGTAAACAGCCAATTGATCAGATTAAAGAGTATCTAGGTGTGAAATATGCATTTTACTTCACATGGTTAGGATTCTATACATACYTGCTGATTCCTGCTGCTATTTTGGGTTTAGTTGTATTTTTTTATGGTATCTTCACTTTTCCTAATAATAGATTTAGGTAATTTCATATTCCTTATAATAGTATTACATTACTCTTGATATATCATAATAATTTATTAAATTCAATTTTTGGTTTAGTTCTGATATTTGTAATGCTACAGACATAATAATGTGCCCATTGTGTGACCGTACATGTGATTATTGGGAACTTTCAAACACCTGTTTTTATGCAAGGTTAACATATTTATTTGATAATGACTTGACTGTGATATTTGCCTTCTTGATGTCTATTTGGGGTTAGTTAATGTATATTTTTCAATTATGTAAATTTTACTAACTAAAATATATGCATTTAAGCTACTCTATTTCTTGAACTGTGGAAACGATATTCAGCTACCATTACACATCGCTGGGGATTGACAGGATTCACTTTTGAAGCTGAACATCCAAGGCCTCAATACTTGGCACGTTTAGCTGGATCTAATCATACTAAAGTGAATATAGTCACAGGAAATGTCGAACCAACCGTGCCTCTCTGGAAAAAAATTCCTGCAACATTATTTAGCATTTCCGTTCTTTTACTATTAGTAAGGTTTATTAAGAATTATAGTGTTAAAAGATAATTTTTATTTTTATTAAATTAAAATTTTTTTATTATTATACAAAATAGGTATATAATATAATATATCTAAAAATAATAATATATTTTTACTATATAAAAATTTTAATTTTTAAATTAATTATATTACTTAAATTAACTTTAATTTCCTTTTTGTTTTTAAGATTGTGATTGCTGTTGCTGCTGTGTTTGGAGTTGTGCTGTATCGCATGTCTGTTTTAGCATCACTTAGTCTTACAAATCAATCTGATTGGATGAGTACATATAGCAATATATTTATTCCAACTACAGCAGCTATCATTAATTTGGTTTGCATTCAATTATTAAATTTTGTAAGTATTTATATTTTTTAAATTCTTATTAAAATTAGAGGTGAATATAAGTAGTTTATTCATAAAATAAAAATGGAAAAAGAAATATTTTAACTCTAGTATTTCCAAGTTTAAAAATTAGTTCAACCTAGCATATAAATAATATAAAAATAAATTTCTAATAACAATTGAAATATTTAATAAATATCCTATAGGTTGTCTTGACTTAAAATTGTTTTGTCCATTGTGTACAATAATTTATCATTGAATTTCAAYTTATCACATTCATTACAATGACTTGATCAATTACCTGATTTACAATCATTCCATTT